ATTTTATTTTATTTTATTTTATTTTATTTTATTCCCTGTAGCTACTGAAATTATAGTACACAGGGTCCCACTGAAGGGACTAGTGAAGGCACCCCACTGTCTTCAAACTTGGATCCGTTTCCCAGTTAGGTTTTCCTGCCAGGTTCCTTTTAGATCAGAAGGTTGTCAGTTCTAACTAAAAAGTCTGACTACTGGGAATATCTTTTTTAACTCTTTGTTTAAATTTAATGTTACATTGAAGCAGATGAGTTAAAGTGGGGGTACAGTTTCAAGGAGGAAGTGTAAATCATGGAACAGATGTCCTAAGTAAAGCTCTATCTTCTCAGAAAATTATTCTGCCTCTCTCTCTCTCTCTCTCTCTCACACACTCACACACAGTCTCCCTTCACATATGTGTCATGAGTACAGGTGCATCTTACACACATTTATGCAATTAGGGAGTCTCCACCATCAAGCATCACTATAACCCTTTTTAGTATGAGTTTACTTTCCAGCTTTGTATCATGCCTTTTCTGCAGATCAAGGCACCACACATAGCATACCTAGATAGTTTTTCTCTAATAATGTGTCTCACCTGTGCTTACTTGCAGGTATGTCCTCAGTTAAACATGGAGAATCAAACCACCGTGTCTTACTTTCTGCTCCTGGAATTCTCAGAAAATCAGCATCTGCAGCTTCTACATTTCTTCTTCTTCTTGATATTATACTTGGCAACTGCAACAGCAAATCTTCTCATCATCTCTGTAGTAGCTTTTGACCATCAACTGCACAGCCCCATGTACTTCTTTCTAATGAATTTGGCACTGCAGGACCTGGGCATTGTTTCAGTCATTCTCCCCAAATCCATGGTGAATTCCCTCATGGGCACCAGACACATCTTTTACTTCGGTTGTGTTGCTCAAGTCCTTCTCTTTATTTCTTTTGAAGCATCAGATATCTCCCTCCTGACAGTCATGGCCTATGATCGGTATGTTGCAATTTGCAATCCACTACACTATGAGATGGTGATGAATTGGAAAGCCTGCACCAAAATAATGATTCTGGTGTGGGTCACAAGTCTTCTCTATGGAATGTTGCATACCAGTGGTATCTTTTCCATCCCTTTCTGTTCTAATGTTATCAACCAGTTTTTCTGTGAAATTCCAGAGTTGCTAAAGCTATCCTGCTCTGGCTTCAGTCTGGTTGAAGTTGGAGTTCTTGTGGCCAGTGCCATTGCAGGACTAGGTTGTTTTACTTTTATTATTGTATCTTATGCCATGATCTTCAAGGCAGTGCTAAGAATCCCTTCTGAACAAGGAAGGCAAAAAGCCTTATCAACCTGTATTCCCCACCTTATAGTAGTGTCTCTGGTTTTATTAACTGGATTCTTTGCCTACCTGAGACCTCCCTCTAACACCCCATCTTACTTAGATTTTGGGTTGACTGTTATGTATTCCATTCTTCCACCCCTTTTCAATCCAATCATCTATAGCATGAGAAATAAGAAGATCAAACTTTTCCTGTTTAAACTGTGGAGATTCTGACATTTTCTTTTAATGTTGTTTTCTTTCTGTTCACCACAATTTTGCATGTTCTTGTCTTTTCCTTTACTTCTCTGAATAAAGGAATAAGTTAGAAAGTGAGACACAGCTGGAATGGAGGCAAATCTTACCTCTCAAACCAGAAGAAGGGTAGAAGTCCAGAAGTTGCTGAACAAAAATCTTGCTCCCTAATTACTGCCAATGCACTTTACCAGATGCACTTTACTTCCATGGCTAAAAATGGTGTTGGCAGACACTTCCAAATTCTAGGCAAGTGTTTTAACAATTGTAACAAGGAAAAGGACTGGGATGGAAGAAGGAAAACAAAAAGATGTTTGTGATTGGTACTTTAGTAAATGATGGATTGAAATATATGAGAAGTGCTTGGATTGGACATAGACATTCTTTCAATGGCTGGTCCTCTTCTAATTGATGTCATGTTTGTCTTATATTTTTCCTTTTTGTTTCCAGTATGTATCAAAATGTAGGTTCATTGTTTTATTGAATAGTATCTCTCACCTCTGATTCCCAGATGTGGCATTTATCTCAGTGGCCAGTCAGATGTGGATAATGAAACCACAGTACCTTATTTTCTGCTTCTGGAATTCTCAGAAAATCAGCATCATCAACTTCTACATTTCTTCTTATTCTTCATACTATACCTGGCAACAGCAACAGCTAGTCTTCTCAACATCTCTGTAGTAACTTTTGACTATCAACTGCACAGCCCCATGTACTTCTTTCTAATGAATTTGGCAGTGCAGGACCTGGGCATTGTTTCAGTCATTGTCCCCAAATCGATAATAAATTCTCTCATGGATACTAGAAATACCTCTTACTTTGGTTGCTTTGCACAAG